GATTAATGACAACTGGGTGATATGCTCCCAACAGCTGTTAACATTTTCCGTGAGAGCCTAAAACACCAAATTGTGCTCATAGTGCGGAAGAGCATTTTTGTTTCAAACAAGATGGTAGTAGATGGGAGGCATAAATTGACAATAACATAGCAGCACCGAGGAAGCGTTATTTTAGTTGATGAACCACCTTATTAGCAAAAACTGATGAAGATGCAGAACTTGGAGAAGCAGCATCGATTGCAGCCTGCGTGATCTTGTTTGTTAGGTCCTGAAATAAGAAAATGACTCTGTCTGAATTAAAGGCTTCTGGACTCTAAAAAAAATTAACTACGGCCACTACAGTTGCACGGGTGCGTCGTAAAATCTGTTTGGCGGGCAACTGAATCAATTGACCCAGGAGACCGACTGCATGACTGGTCCACTCATTCGAAAGACTATTCTACAGATAACCTAATGGTCGACGGCTGTATGCATGCACAAGAAAACAATTTTAAGGGGATTGACTGCTAACTCCATCAAGTATGCCTCTTGGCGCTGTACGCCACCCTTCGCAATGAGGGTGCTTTTAGTGTGTCTAATGGTGGGAGCAAACGGGCCGCCAAGAAGGGCCTAATTTTGGCTCCCCTCACCGGAGACTAGAAATAAATAAGAGTCATCAGTCTCTTCCAATCAACTTTAATAATAACATTTATTTGGTTAGTGGGGTAAAGTGAGTTCAAGGCCATGCATAATCGCCCAAAGGACAAAACTTGAATTACACGTTTACACAATTTCTGCATTAATTTAAGAGAACCTTTGTTGTATTTCAATAGTGTTGAACTTATGTTTGCAGGAGGAATGTTTAACAGGCCGACTAAAGGTCTTACTAACCGTTAGTGGAAGTTCAAGTTTGGTTATACTCTTCAAGTAACTGAGAGCATCAGCATTCAGTCGAATTTTGTTCTTCAGATCCTCTACCTCATCACTGTATCGTTCCTGATAATCTGGATTCTGGTGTAAAAAAATGAACTGATTAAAACGCAAATAAATGCTATGCAAATGGGGAAAAATGTGTCTCAGAATAAGGCGGTCAAGTCAAGAATTGGAGATGGACCTGAGAAATGCGTTGTTGAAGATCGAGAATGCCTTCGAAGAACTGTTCCTGTCGAATGCGTTCCTCGTCAAGAGCTAAATGATTCACCCCAACTCTGAGATCACTTGCAACAATCTGAAAAGTAGCAGGAGGGTTCTGCATTATGGAGGACAATTCCGCTATCAACATTCGCAACCATTAAAGGATTATACCTTTCACTGGAAGCCATTTGAAAGATGCTATTGAAATTTAGGGCTCCCAGTATTGAGAGGTGTAAATGACATGGTCGCAAATATTTTTCCTACAAGTTTGATTTCACCTGGTCACCAATAATCGGAAAAATGCGAAGAAAGATGTGGCAGCAGAAAACGGTTTCTATCATTTGACAACTTAATGGATGCTTAGCATTGCATCTTCGAGATCGGATATTATTGACACTGCCGCCAACTATCAACTGGAGGTCAGAAGGTAAGGCCACGAAGAGCTTTTCGGACGCAGTTTAGACCTTCGCACAATTGACTGAGCGATCGTAAGCAGGCGGAGGCCCATACGCGTTGAGTTGAGTGACATGGCGCTCTGATTTGGCATACGCATGCGCGCACGCGCCTATCGGCAACTCAAACCCCTCAGCCTATCCACTCCATTCTTCTCCACCTCCGCCAAGGGCGTGCCGTCACCAGACCACATGATGAAGGCACAAGTTTGATTTCTCTCTACCACTCTCTCAAGTACTGCAAGAGCCTGTCATAACATTGGATAATGGTGCAGATATGTGTGATTTAACTTTCAAAACTGCAATGTAAAACAGATAATTTGATCTGAGTCCAGGTGGTGTCACTAAAGGTTACGTCGAGACCAGTAAAAGTTGCTATTACAATGTTACTTACAACTGTTGATCCCAAAGAAAAGGGATGCCATTAGAGATAAAAAATTAACACTCTAGTAGGGACCACGGGTTTAGTGAGACGAGGTGAGTAGCCCAACTGCCACTTCCCCAAAGACCATGGGTAGCAAAATGGACAGTATGTAGTACCTAAGTTCAGTTCGTGGGTACTTATGACAAGGCTTACTCGATGTGCCACGATTTAAGAAGAATTTTGAGAATAAGACCACTGAGGTGGTCACAGTGTTTAGAGCCGGGTCAATAGTTTGATGTCAGCGCACCTTGGCAATATTTGAATGGTAAAACATTTCATTGAAACCATATTACCGTGGCATAATTTTATTGGATTGAGGCAAGAATACCTGCGCCCTAGTGGCAAGCCGCATGAAATTGTAAGTGCACTGAGTACTGAGCTACCACTCGAACAGCGATTAACTTTCGAATCAAAACTATAAGCTCTGAAGTTGGCTGAATATTGTGTTGTCGGGAATGCAAAAAAGTGGTATTCCTTGGTTTCAGCTAACCTTGTAATCAACCAGTTCTCGATCGATGGCCGAAACTCCTGTAAAAATCGAAAAATACGTGAGTTATTAATAAAAATAACTAGCAATCATCGTATGAAAGTCTGCGAATCGGTGAGACTTGTATTTCAATCTTCGGTGCAAGAGTTTTCGAGTGCTCAGGAAATTTGCACATCTTCAGCAGAAAACAAGTTATTGCTTGCTCACACTTGATTGATGCGAAATGGGATTGAATGTACACATAAATTGGCAGTTTTGTGGGAAATAGGAAGGAGTCGAGCTGCGACGAGAGGCCTAGTGGTCTTAGTGAATCATGAAATTATTAATTTTAGCGGTGAGTGAACCAAACACCTAAAATTGCCACTGCCGCAAATGCACAACTGGAGTAGAATACAAATACTTATGGGCTCTATGTGCTTTAAGCAAACGTTAAGTTAATAAGAAAAATTTGAGAAAACAAGGTTCTGGAAGGTCTTGCTTCGAACCTAGACGTGACTATCCTATCATTAACTTCAAAGCAATCGAATCAAACCTCCTTTGAGTTAAAAGACCACCCTTAATTCTTTAGAAGCCATTAGGTTTAGACTAGTTGATAATGGTACCATTGTTCCCGGGGTCTGTTTTACTTTCCACAAACTATAACCTGACCAACAACCGACACTCGCCCCCCTACTGAGAAGGCTGCATTGAAGGGGCCCAAACTCAATCATCTAGAACACTCGATTTTAGTTTGATTAGGTTTTGCCCGCTGAGGTACACTCTAAACTCCTTTTAAGACTTTGGAGTTGTAGATTAAGCAACCTTACCACACAATCTTAAGGATCCCAAGTGCTGTAGACCCGCTAGTCTTAAATCTATTAACTTGTTTCCAAATTAATCCCCAATGCTTTATGTACAGGAGCAGAAGCTACTATTAAATCCATTCACTCAGCTATTTGTTAGCCCAACACAATCAAAAGAAAACGCAAAAAATCCGAATGCAGACCACCTCGACTAGAGGGCATGGTGTCTGTGTAGTAGGTTCACATTCATTTCCCATTAAGAAGGCCTCTGTTTAAATCTATGTCGCCGAAATTTACGCATTCAGCCATGAATCATTAATGAGGCACAATCGAGCCTTTAGTAGAAAGGCGACTCATCCGTGGAGCCACAAAGTCACATCACATCCGAAATGATTAGCAGTCAGCCGCTTAAAACAATGCGGAAGTGAAGTCATCAAACAAGTGGAAGGGAACCACACATTGAAAAGACTAATTTGACATCACCTCGGACTTTTTAAACCTCTGATTCTGCAATTAAGGAGTTTTTTTTCGAAATAAGTGTTTGCCATTACAAGTGATTTGATTATGAAATAGCCATGAGCAAAGGAAATTGGTTGACCAAAGTGTCGACCTTATCTGAGCGACAAAAATAATAAAAATGAAAAAAGTTTGACAGCCAGATTCATATGAAGTGAACATATGTACTTTAAAGGAAGGGCTTACCGCCGGACATTTTGTTCTCAAAGTAACTAATTATTCACCAAAGAGAAGACACAAGTTTGTTGTGATTGGTGACGCGTCGGAAGGTGCTAGAGAGAAATTGAAGTTCTCAATAGTCTGGGAGGATTTTAAGAGAGAATCAGCTTTCATAGCAAACGATGGGTGCACTAGCCAATGGTTGGAGTGGCGTGTGAGTAGTGCATACCTCTAGTATGGGGCTGAAGGTGCGTTTGTGCCTGCACTCGGCGCATCCGCATGGCTTAGGTAGCGTGATGAGGTGAGTGAAGTCTCTGTGTGTCACGTATTAGCATGAGCTCAACTAACTTTCCTTATCACTTTGCGCCATTAAGTGGAATATTAATCGTATCAAGCACCTTCGAGCTTGCCTACAGAGTAACTCTGTTTGTCGGTTAATAAAGTATGCAAGTAACATTTGGTTTCCTAACTATTCACTAGTCAGCAAGAGACTCAAACACAAGGTGTTGCATATAGCACTGTCAATTTAAGCGCCTGTGTGAGTGGTGGCTACTTTAGCAGTCATCTTGCTTCTACTGGATGTGCTGGCCTTAGCACCATTCCAAAGGCCCATCTTGGTTCTTTTTATCCGAATATGGGCACTAATCATCAAAGCCTATAACCTGATTAGAAGTCGTGAGGCCTTATGCAACATTTTCACGAAAACGGTATTGTAAACGAACCGATTTCAGAAACATAAGGTCCATTTACAGTGTTGCGCAAAATGAACTTTTGTAGGCTTCGTTCATATAACCCATCCTCAAATGCACGATGCAGCTGATTGTATGACAAAACGTTGCAGACTTTAAACCACAGTTCTGCATTAACCATTACTAACCTATTTAAACCAGTCATTTACTACTATAGTGTCCAAGGTGAGGACATCAATTTCTCCAAACTCGATATCATCTCAGACAAGGATGTAATATATACTAGAGTACTTATGCTGACCTTTATAGGGGAGAGGCGCGAAGCGAGTTCGAACGCGAATCTGGTGCGTGAGGATCGTGAGGAATCCCTCGCCGGGTGATATCTGCTATTCTGTTCGTCTATACTCCTATCCCCGTTCCTCCTGTATTAAATGCCTAATAGATTTACTGAAAATAACCGCCTCTTAAAGTCCGTGGTTCAAGGGCATGAGGGTGGGCAGGCAGTTCCTACAAAGGACAACATGTCGATTGTAGTCCACCCAACCCTTTGAGTTTCAAATTTGTTAGTAGAAACTTGCTTAACCAACTTCGAAATTCCTGAGTGATTAGTCCCCGTGCCTCGCCAATATCCCCACTTACTTTCTGTCCTCCATGCACACGTGTTCCGCATAACTGCAGTCTTTTTTCCCAATGAGCCTATAAACGTTACAATGGCATTTTAGCACCTCGAGACTTCCCATCCTGTATTAGGAGACATAATACGAGGATTAAAAACTTTTAATCAAACAGAAAGGATAGAATTGAGGCTTTGGTTGCGCCCGAAGACCAGGCACTCGAATAAACAAAGCTTTACATTGCTCGGTGCTCACAGATATGACCAGCTTTACCTCTACCAAAATAGATGCCGAATAAAGCTCCTCAGTGTAGACTCCCAATGAGTCAGTCGTCAGGGCGTTAAACGATAGTGATGTCAAGCTCCGAGGCTACCCTTAATACGCCTCCGGCGTTAGCCATCACAACATATTAGGTGCTGCAATATCTCGGGAACAGCCGTGCTGGTCATCAGGAGTTATGGACCGCCTGAAAGCGGGGACCAGGGGAGGGAAATTGTGTAATCGTGAAACACAGATCCATATGAAAGGATCGTGTGCAAATTCACATTGTGGACAGAGTGAGGAGAGTACTGAAACAAGACCTCCTTAGACGTTTCTTATTCTTGGCTCTTCTTTTAGTGGAGAGATTAGAGATTCTCTCTACGAAGCATATGTGCCTAATCCGTGGAGCAAAGTTTTTTGCATACAATGGAGATCAGAATAAATGTATTTTCAAAATAAGGTCCGTTTCCGCCACTAGCAAGGTAGCGTCTAGACACCTCTCACTTGGTAATCGAAGACATAAGACATGGCTATGCACTGCATATTGGTTTTTAAATGGTCCCTTGTAGGGAAGAGACGGGAAGTCAACAACAACTTATACAGTTTTGGCGGGCTTTCGCGACAGTTTGTAATGTGATGCAAACCTCTACTCCAATTACAAGGCTACGCTCCACATAAAGGAGAATTTGTGAAAATCAGAAGGCCCCATTAGTACCTCATGGGAAGGATAGCTAAATAGTAAATTTCGTCTTATG